TTTCCTGTCGCTTACGGGGTGAATCATGCCGCCTGCGCTGTGCGGAGATGCAGGGGAAACCGTATCTGATGGGGAAACGCAGCTCGAGATTTCCACCATACCCGTCTCAGCCTTGCTGGATCCTCCATCTCTTTTGGAACATCTAACCATTAAGTCTGGAGGAGTACTGACGGTTTCCTCCTTTGAACCCCCTTTTATACCAAAACGTTGCCAATACACCATTAAACAGTAGCAAGAAGTTAGAAACACATTCAGCGCTTGTCCGGAACACGTCAAATACACCTGCATACGTTGATATGCAATGGAGATAAGTTCTTGATAAGTTAAGCATAAGTTATGCACAAGTTACTCATAGGTTTTGGATAGGCTGGACCCCATGACTTATGAGTTACAGTTAAAGTGTGTCAACAATCAAATAACTTACCTGTAACTTATGCCCCACGTATGACCATACCCTGGCATACCTCAAAATTTCTCGACGTAATTGCTCTGTCTGTTTACCCATAACCTATCCAACGTACGGCAGCGTTTTTGCCAAATTTTTCATATGTCGGTATACGCTGGCTAAATCGTCAAGGTGTGACAGGACTGTTACTGATCATAGTTCAGGTCGAAATCCAACAACCTACAGCTTTCAGTAGACCACCTGAACCTGAGTATGTTATTTTGGTTTTCTATCTACATTTTTTGTTCAATGTTGATATACATTGATATACCATTAGCACAAACCTCACATCATTTTGGCCTCTTCAGGGTTTATATTAGTTCTCCAAAGTGGAATGAATACAAAACAAAAGCTTCACAGTTTTTTTAAAAAGTTGGTGCACAAGTTTGAATTTATTGTGCATTTTCTGTAATTCGGAGAGTCTGAAACTTCTTACAAGCAGAAGAGGGTTAAAGCTGCCTATATTTGTCCTCACTCCCAATCTTTTGCTCCTACCAATAAGCTTGTGGCATGACTTGTCAGCACATCGACCACAGTAGTCCCACTGGAAAAATTATCTTGAAATACACAAGATGTCTTAAATTAAGTTTATTTACCCTTACTTTGAATGTGTAATGAGAAAGTTTGCCAATGGAAATGCATTTTTACTCTTAAAATAAAATAGTAAGTCATGGATTTAAAGACTAGAAATATATATTGTCTTGTTACATCTGGAAAATGTCATGACACGGGGACAGAGGGACCCAGTATTCAAGGAGAGACAGTCAGTAGGAAAGTTCAAAATGTTTATTAAACAAACAAAACAAAAGCGGAGCTTGCGGACACTGCAGGATGGGGAACGGGGCACCGCTCAATCATAGACACTCTGCAGGGGAAACACAGGTAAGTGACCACGATCATCTGGCAAAGGATGATTATCTGAGTTGGCCACTTACCTGGTTTAACAGTCCAGTCCTAGAATGTCCCCAAGTGCTGCAGTTCCAGAGGACATGCTGGAAGCTGATCCTGGTCAGGGATCCAGAACAGACAGAAACAGACAGAACAGGCAGAATCCAGATCAGGCAGGAACAGAAACAGGTGGCAGGATCCAGACTTCGAGGCATCCACAGGCTCCCAGGAGGGTTCAGGGTCTGACTGGGACCAGAAGCATGACCAGGTGGTCACGAACAGGATCAGGTGCAGACAGGCAGGCTCAGTGGAAGAGGGTAGCCGAGACAGGACGAAGAAGAATAAATTATAATTGAGGCAGGGAGGGAAAATAACAGGTGAGAGAAATAACCAATTAAGGGGGAGCAAACAGGCCAGATCACAACAGAAAATGTCTCTTTAACCTCATCAATTTAAGAACAAATACGCTTATTTTAAGAAAAAAATACTTATCTAGTTTTTGATCATTTCCAGTGCAGGCTACCATACAATGTTGGTGCATACTACAATTCACTTTGACTGTTGTCAGACTTTGTTAAAATGCCTTTCAATAAATCATAAATTTACATTAATGATTGTGATGAGAGGATGTAATCCTGACCCGAACCGTATCTGCTGAATACACAGAAAGCTTTCTTATGCTGAATTAATCGGCTCTGTAATCAAGGGAGGTGTTAGCAGGGATTCATGTTCGTGTGTATCTGCAGCTGGTCTTTCCTACTGACCATGGCCAAGCATGCTCTTGATCCTTAACCTTGTTTGTTGTCCTTAACAGAAAGGGTCAGGATACCATCTGGATCTGTTCTTGGTGGCTGTTCTGATGGTGGTTTGCTCCTTCATGGGCCTGCCGTGGTATGTGGCCGCCACCGTCATCTCCATCGCCCACATCGACAGTCTGAAGATGGAAACTGAAACGTCAGCACCAGGAGAGCAGCCCAAGTTCCTGGGTGTGAGGTGAGAACAAGGAAGTTAAATCTCAGTAACAACAAATTCACAGTATGTCTCTTCTGAGGAACAAGTCTTACATCAGTCTTACAGTCTGACACATTTCTTCAATTTAAAAACAAACAAACCCAACAATTGTATTAATCCCCCTGTTCTTATTGGCTCTGCCTCATCCTGGCCTCCACTGAGCCCCAGCATCAACCTTCCTGCCATCTTTGCCTCTCTAACTAAAATATGTAACATTTGGGACTTTTTTTTCTTTTTTTTTTTTGTTAATCATCAAATACATTTTCAGACAGACCACAGCGAGGAAAACTTTTAAAAAAGAAGAAAGAGTCTTGTGGTGCTGCATGATGTATTGAAGAGATCCGTATGCACAACAACATTTGAACATCAATGTAGTAACAAAGACTCCATAAGAAGTAGCCTAGTAAACTAGCCCCACCTGCCAGCGGCCAAAATGATTTATGCCTGTGAGTGATCTAGCCTCGATCAATGCCCCAGGCCCTAGAACTAGTGGGCCAATCACAACGCAGAGATGTGTTTTGAATTTCTGGATGCTAAGCGGGCAGGGTTTTGAGGGCATGACGACAAAGCTGTGCGACACTGGATATAACACAACAAGGAAGATGGCAACAACTATTGAACAGCTCTCGTTTGACTTTTGAATCAGTTTTGTAAGGATTAGACTTGGGGTTTTCGTTGAAACGTGAGCAGGAAGAGGCTCTACGCTCATTCATTTTTAAGAAGGACGTATTCGCCGTTTTACCGACAGGCGGTTTGTTTACACTCCCCTACCAGCTTTCTGTCTCGCTTACTACGTCACAGTCTGTTGTGCTCATTGGTCAGAGCGTTGGCCAATTGATACAGACATGGTTTGAAAACCAACGGGTTGTTCTCATCAACAATCTTCCGATGTCTCATTCATCGGGGCGAGACTAAATTACACATTTAATCTCACATTTAGTCTGGTTTATCGGGCTATATTTATCAGGCCACATAAGAAGGCCGTTTTTCTTCAATATTTTTTTTTTCTCTCCTCTTAATATGTACAGTACTGGAGCAATACCCCAAAGCAATCCCTTCCAACTGCATGATGTAGTTTCACCCCATCTAAAAGTCTCTGTGAGAAAGTGAACCTAAGTGATGTGAATTTATTAACTTTAAATATTCGTTGCAACAATCACGGAAGGAGACAAACACTCTGAATAAGCACTTAAAGTAATTTGAAGGCATTTGCCATTTTTGGAAGTATCAGAGAAAGAGGGGAAACTTAGAAAAATGCAATTTTCTTAAAAAAGAAAAAAACTACAGTCACAAGTTTAGCCATACCAAAAAGTCCCTTTACCCAGTCGGCTAAGAAGAACATTTTCCTCTTATCCTAGTTTTTTGATGAGGTCAGATCAAACCAAATGGACAGTTCTAAATACGCACACTGTCACTGTTTGACCTCCATAGGGTAGCCACATATTATGCTCAATTTAATATATATATATATATATATATATAAAAAAAAAGTGTTTCAGATTGATCCATTTTTCAATTGATGGGTCTTTGCTGACATGAATGAAAAATCTAGATTTTTAAATGATTTTTTTATTGTAGAGTTAGGTGATTTGTTCTGTAGACGTTATCATTCACCAATTGAACATGTTCTTCCTGTTTTTGGATGGTCTGTGTTTTGTTTTCATATCTGTGTGCTGTCCTCCACAGCACCCTGATGTGGCAGCTGAACTAATAAACTGTTTAATAAACTGCTTTGAACTTTACAATGCTGCTTTTTCTGCTGTCTGTAGAGCATTGGTGAAAATTTGAAGCAAAAACGTGTACAATCTGTTAAAATATTGTCAGTGTGGTTTGTTATTGTCATTAGGTTATTAATCAAAACTATAAGCTTTTATTTTTCTGAAATTCCACTATTTTGCTGTTTTGCAGAGAGCAGAGGGTCACTGGAGTGCTTGTATTCGTTCTAACAGGACTAAGTGTGTTCATGGCTCCCATATTAAAGGTAATCTACTAAATAGTTTGCAGCATTAACACACTCTTTATTCACGTTCTCACCTTATGATTTCTTTTTGGTTAAATGTGAGTTTTCATCTCATATTGCAAGGTTTTACTTTATACATGGGTAGATATCAAGCAGCATTTAGAATAAGGAAATAAAATGATTGTCAATAGTCAAACTGAGAATGGAATTTTGGAATGATTTAAATGAAGCTAAAACCAGGAGAATTGTGGTAACTTGTTTTTATTAAAAGTCTACTACTGAATATATATAGATTTACTGTATATTTATGCACATTTTATTTGTATTTCTTATGTAGTTTATCCCCATGCCAGTCCTGTATGGAGTCTTCTTGTACATGGGAGTGGCTTCTCTTAACGGTGTTCAGGTACTGTTCTTTAAAATTTGGACCCATAAAAGTTGGACATGTTGTTTTTTGTAGACATACAGTATATGCAAAAAGCTGCCATATAGATATCAATGACTTTGATTATTCCAGCCTGCAGAGCTGCCAGTTATGTGTATTTTTTTGTCTTCCTATCTAGTTTATGGATCGTCTGAAGCTGCTTCTGATGCCAGCCAAGCATCAGCCAGATCTGGTTTACCTGAGACACGTTCCCCTCAGGAAAGTCCACGTATTCACCTTCTTGCAGATTCTCTGCTTAGCGATGCTCTGGATCCTGAAGTCCACTGTGGCAGCCATCATTTTTCCAGTGATGGTAAAGAAAGAAAATCAAATATTAGAGATATACTCCAGTTTTCTTTCCCATGAGCTTTGTCCCATCCCTTGTTTCCCATGTTTTCAGATTCTTGCTCTGGTGGCTGTCAGGAAAGCCATGGACTACATATTCTCCCAGCATGACCTTAGCTACCTGGATGATGTCATCCCAGAGAAAGACAAGAAAAAGAAGGAGGATGAGAAGAAAAAGAAGAACTGTGGCAGCCTGGACAGTGATGCTGAGGATGTAAGAGTTTTCATTCTAGCAAAGGCTTGTTTTTTTAATCTACAGGCTTTTTACTATTGCTGTTTTTGTCAAGCTGACCAACTATCTGTGGTCATTCTCACAGATTCCAATTTCTTGCCTTATAGGGCTGGATGTTGTAATAGAAAATCTTTTGCTCTACTCCTCGAAGAGCATATTACAAAGCACATTGTAATTTTTGCGACTTTGTATAACTAAAGAAAGTTCTTATCCTAAATGGATTAATTATATCAATATGTAGCATCAGTTTCAACTAGATAAGGATATCTCTCTACTCTAGGTCCATATAAATCACATTCAGTTTGAAATATACTTTATTGGCCTATGGCCCATGCATCATCATTTACCACTTTTGCTCCCTCAGAAATCCAATTGGGTGAAAGTTGTTGCTAACATTCTGTTGATAGATGCATTGAAAGCAGCACAATACCAGATTTGTATTTTACCCCAAAAAGAAACATTTGAAAAAAAAAAAAAAAAAATCCTTACTTTGCAAATGATTTATATTGTCATGTGTTTAGAGGTCTGACCCAAAAGGGGTCAGACCTCTGGGACTCACGTCTAGGGGGGTTCTTCTCTCACTTTGAAATCCAGTCAGTGTAGGTTGATCCAGAGAAGAGGGGACTCGTTGGAGAGTGGACAGGTAGACATTCGTTGGCCCAGGAGGAGCAATAGAGTGGACTGCAACTTGGAATTCCCAGAGAACTTAAACGAGACGTGTGGAGGTTAATCCCCTGCTCAGTGTGAAAAACAAAACAATCCTTCCGGGGGAAGAAGGCCAAACATCCAGCTTGCAGGATGGCTTCCTGCCGAAAGGCATAGAGAAAAACAAAGTTAGGCTCAGTGAAACAAAGACTCAGGTAGACTCAGCGAATCTCAGCATGGCTAGAGTACCCAAAATTGGCAAACACTCTGGCCTTGAGGTAGTGACAGTCCACTGCTTAAATACTCCTCCAGATAATGGTCCCACATCTGCAGGTGGGCAGGGAGGCCCAATGAGGACGGGGCACCACCTGGTGGAGGAGAAAAGGAAGCACAAAAATAACGCACAAAAACTGGATTCCGGACATATATATTTCCTTTAATGCAACAGTAAGAGTATAAGGACATGATCTTTAGTTTGTGGCTCAGGCAGAGAAATTACTAGACCTTCTTGTCTAGTTATTTCAGCTATGGATGGATGGATGGATGGATGGATGGATGGATGGATGGATGGATGGATGGATGGATGGATGGATGGATGGATGGATGGATGGATGATAATTGTTGATAACGTTCTGGTATGGCTGGTCCTGCCAGTACCTTCTTGTTTTTATTTTTTTATATTAAGAAAAGCTCTTTTATTTCTAAAATTATTGAATATTATGGATTCTAAGGATGAATAAGAAGAGGAAGGATTAGTTTTGCACTTTTGTGTTAAGGTTTCCCAGTTAGGATGAAAGCATTTTTAATATTTTAGTTATTCTAGGTTTAGGTTCTTTCTTTTTGACTGTAGTAAAGGACCTGATTTTTTTTAACATCATAATGCAAATCCATGTCACTAAAGATGCTCAGAGTAAACCTTCACTTTGAGCTTCCCTGTTCGAAGTGCACAGAGTAATTCAGGTGATGAATAAGGTGGGCTGATGGTTCTAGTCTGAACAGACATTCTGGACTTGTCTAGATACATTTACAGTGCTGCTCTGCTGCACTTAGTAGCCCTGTTGCTTTTCTGCATCTGAAAAAAAAAACAATTTTTTCTTTCTCCTTTAAGTCGTCATCATGTTGGATGCAGTGGGCAGCAATCGAGTCTGTACAACTATACCTTGGAGTTAGCCAAAACCCATGTGGTGACATTCAGTGTTTCTGCAGTTTGCAAGATTAATGCTATTAGTTAGATGAAAAATGACAAATTTTATTACATTTTAAAATCTGCAAGTTATGTGAATCGCAGTGATGTGATTTACTTTTTTGGGGGTAGGGTGTCCGGGCGTTACTTTTAATGGAAAAGATTTTTCGGGGGATCATAACCCTACTAACCCTAGCCTTGCAAATAACACTTTTGACGGTACCTACCTGATCTGACAGCGGGTTCCTGTCTGAGGATGTGTTTCCTCTCTCCAACAGTCTGACTATCCTTACAATGAGAGTGTTCCAAATATTAAAATTCCCATGGACATCATGGAGAAGGAGCCCTTTTTAGGTGATAAGACCTCTGACAGTGAGTAAAACCCAACCGCCGGGAAACTGGAGGGAAAAATAAGTCTTCCCTCTCTTGACTTATCTTATCTCTGCTCTGCTTTCTCACTGGATGTTTCTAATGGTGTCCTGTTGGGTTTTTGCTTTTCACTCTTCTCTCTCACTGTGTCGACATGCTATTAATGCTTTTATTTAATGCAGTTGCAATGTCTCTAAATAATGCATGAAACCTGCTCGCTGCTTGGGGTTTTGGTGTGTCTAAATCTTTTTAAGCTTCAATTTAATTTCTTGCTTGACCTAACACTTCACATGTTGTTATTTAAATACTGTTAGTTTTTTTTATCTCTTAAAAAAGCATTTGCAATCAACTCTTCAGTTCACTGTGCTTTTATTCCAAGCAATGAGACTTTCTTTATTCGTTATGTCCAACCCAATTCAGCTTTATTTATACAGACCTTTAAAAATCAGTACAGGACCAGAGTGCATTACAGTTAGAATAAGTTAAATATAAACCAAGAAAAATGTAAATATTACATATTTGGTAAAATATATTAACATTTATATTATGTATATAAATATAAATTAAAACACACATTACAATATACTGAGATAAAGACCACATATTAAAATGATATAAGAACAAAATCTGGGATAATTAAATAAAATGAGTTAGAAAAGAAGTAAAAGCCAATGTCTTACAGGGTGTCACACACCAGAGTGAAAAACTGGACTTTCAGGAGGGATTTAAAAATAGACAGAGAAGATGCCTGTTCAATTTCTAAGGGCAGATCATTAACAGTTTGGAAGCGGCTGCAGCAAAAACATGTTCTCCTCTAAATGTATGCTCAGTCTGTAGAAATACTGAGGTGAAGCTGATCAGCTGACCTTAGAGAACAGATATCTGTATCAGTTTGGGACTGCTCACAGCGAAGGATGAGGCTGTTGATCCATTTTTCTCTCAACTGACCAAGAAACTATTAAATGTATTCAGCTCATCCATTTGGGAAGCTGTATATTTTATTCAAACTTGAAGGAGTTTTAGAGCACACACTCAACTGCCTTTGTTGTTACCCTGAGTCCCACTTGATGTTACATCAATGTGGTCAGTCATCATCCAGTTGATTAGCTTAAACACATTGGATTTTTGTGTTATTTTTCTGCACACCTGAGCTAGACTTTTTTTCATTCCTATTTTTCCTAATTTTGAATAGATTAAATATGATAGCGTTAATTATATAATTACTTTATAAAGGCAATACTTTCATTAGGATTTGTGTAAGGCTTACATTAAAGTTCTTGCCTAACCTTTATAAAACTCTCAGCTTAGCTACTGGACATTTTTTGACTATATTTTACCTCTTACTGCATAAATGTACTCTTCTCTTTCCTTCATAAATTATCTTTTTCCTGAGGTTACAGGCTGAGAGGCAAGGTACTCAAACACAGGAAAAACAACCAACACATAAACTGACTGCTTAGAGCACTTTAAAGCGACCAGTCAACCTAACAAGTTTTCTTATGCATTGGAAGACCTTATGTCCCACCTCACACCCTGAAAGTATTTACAACTAAAAATATAAATCCGGAGTCTTAACCTATGAGGCTATATGTTTGTGTTTTAGCCTGTATTTATGTTTTTGCTCCTATATGGATAAAAAAAAACACAATAAGTTTAAACGCTAAACACTCATTAATTGATAATAAAAGACTTGAAGAATTATTAGTAAAACTACTTTTTATTCTTTATTTCATAACCACATTAGAAATGTTTTCTTTTCATATTCCAAAGTTGAGAACTTATTTAGATTTTATAGGTGTTTAGATCTGGGTATTTAAAAGATAGGGGATCTAAAGTTCCACACCTTTTTTGACACATAAAATAACTTTTTAACTTTTTCTAACAGCCTCTGCTGTGAAGTGAGGGAATGGGTCTGATGTTAACTTGATTTAATTATCTGGGTTTTTAAAGTGGCTTAGAACAGAAATAAATGGGAGGAATATCCATAGTAAACTGAGAAAGATCTTAAGGCTCATTAGCATTAAAGTATCATGAAATAGAAGATGACTTGAGACTTATAGACATGATTGCATCTTAATGTATTTACCTGAATTAAAACAGAATAAGTGACTTAAATGGTTAATTTAAAACTCTAACCATAAATCAACATTTCTGCAAAACTAAACAACAGTTTTTAAGGAAACCATTTGTTAAACTTTGACACAAATCAGCAGGATATGAGTCTTATAAAGATTTAAGGCTTTTTCTGTAATCCACCCATGAAATATGTGCAATGCACGCAGTGGAAACTCAGTTAGCAACTAACTTCCCTGTCCCCTCTCTCCTCTGGGCTCTAAGTGTTTATTGTTGTTGCATGTTTGCTTTGGAATAAAAACCTGCACAGCCCTTCAGTCTTCCAGCTGAACTAATGAGCTCTCCGCATTAAGTAACTTCCTGCTCAGAACAGGTATTTTTTTCACTCTTTCCCCCCAGGAGAGAAGTCCCTGTCATTCCTTGATCGACACACATCGTGCTGAGAAGCTTCGCTTCTACCAGGACAGCTACTTATCCAGGTGAGAAAGAAATAAGAGGAAGCCAACAGAGAATAGAAGAGATAAGCTGGTGGAGAGAAAACAGAAAACATGAAAAACTCAGCTGCAGCGTTCTCATCTTTTGACTTAGCAGTTATGCTTGTAAAAGGTCATCAGGCAGCTTTGGCATAACATTGGTCTGATCTTTAAAGGTCGAATCAGCTAAATAAGGCTAAATAATGCCATGCCTGTGATTCTGTCTGCAGACGTCATCAATGAACTACTCTCTAAAAAGAAAAGCTGCTCCAACTTACTGTAAATTAATTGCTTCAAATGGTGACAAGTAATTGAATCAAGTTGATCCAACTTAATTAATTAAATTTATAAGTAAAATAAATTACATTGGGAAAACTAAATCCAATTAATTCTTACTTATTGAAGCAATAAATTCTGAGCTGCATTTTCTTTTCAGAGTGTAGCACAGTTCACTCCAGTCTATACATATTAAGGGTTTTTAAGGGCTAGGTAGTAAAATAAAATAGAGCAAATTGAAAAATTAAACAAAATTTTATAAACCAAAAAGTAAGTTTTTCTTATATGTTTGAGTTCACCTTAAGCTTTGACACTTATCCAAACCAAGCAGAGGAACAGACTAGATGTAGAGAACAGCCTGGGATCAGCTGTTTTTCACACTGAGCTATAGGAGCTCATCAAAACAGCTCAAGTGTCTTGATGAAAACAAGTAAAAATAATTAAGTCAATCTGACTATAACTTTTGTTCTTTATTTTTTTCCAAGTTCTTCAAGTTTAAATGTGATTATAATGGAGGTATTCCATTTTTAATTTTTAATTTATTCTGATTCCTTTCTAACTTCTTAATTTTTTTAATTTCAGATGGAAAGAATACAATGAAAAGAATTAAATGCACAAATTAAAAGATTACGTAAAATAACTTTTATTTTATAATCAGTTATTGTACGATCCACATTTGGACAATCTGAGAGGAGTACTCATGGTAAGACAAAATTCACAAAGGCATACATAAGTCAAAAAAGGTTGGGAAACACTGATGCAGATGCTGAAAAGTCAGCAGATAATCACAGTCATTACTATTAAAATTTCGTTTGACAGTGCTGGAACTGTAGTGTGTTTTTTTTTTTCAAATTTATTTAGATTTAGATCATCTTATCAAAAGGTTAAAGATGAGCTCAATTAAAATATGTTTCGTCATGTGAAATCCTAGGGTTAGGGTTATCCTAGAATGAAAAAAAAGTATATATTATTATAGTATTATTATATATTATATATATATTACTCCATAGTTTTAATATCTCTGTGTTGCAGCCCTGAGACGACCCCGCTGAAGACAGTGCCTCAGATTAGGATAGAAATGGACCCTGAAGATGAAGACACCTATTACTGGAGAGGTCGGGGCTCAGAGACGTGTCTCTAGAGGATCAACCTAATGCTTCCTGTCTTATACCCACTTTATATGAATCTTCACTTTTGTTTCCTACATGATTTGAAGACTGTTGTTTTAAATCACTAGAACTGAAAAAGGGATATTTGAAAAATAGGGACTTTAACCTCTTCCATCTTCACCATCATGTTGGCATCTTTCTCACAGGTCACAGTCTCACTGGTTGATTACATGTAACTTCTTACTACTGATCTATGCAACTCCTTCCACATGCCCCTCCTCACAGTAACATGTTGCAGCGCTCTCACTAAACATGGAGTGCCATCCCATCTCTTTCACTTTTTCATGTCATCTCTTTATATATATATATATATACACATTCAGATTTATTTTATATGTACCGGACTACTATAATACTTTCCTGTTGCAGGGAAATTATGTTTTTATAGCTCTACCTCTTGACTTAGTTTCAGATCATATGAACAACTGGAATTTTTATAATTTTTCTCTCTGTCCTTTCATAGAGTTGTAATAATTAAAATGAATCTGCTGTATCATAGGAAGTAGAGATGTAAGATAATTAACTATAAATTAACAAAGCACATTCAGGTGCAGGTGTGTATTTTATTTAACTGATGCAGAACAGATTGCTTCACTTTGTTTCTAATCTTTTCAAAATCTTTCACAATGTTTTGATTATATTTTGTTTTTAATTTGATATCTTTATTGATTTTTAAAAATGATAATGTTGTGTACATGTAGTACATATTTACGTGTTTTTTTTATTATTATATGCATAGAAGATCAACATAATCATCCAACCTTCCTCTGCCAAGCATTAATTCTAACTGGGAATGCATATCATATAAAGAAATGATTGTGCTGCATAAACTCTTTTACCTAAGTGGCCTATAAGGGATTGATTTGGACTGAAATAGTGATGGAAAGATTGATGATGTGGAAAATAATACTATCACAGCCTATTATCGCAGCAGAACTAGGTGTATTTTCTCAGCTGTCCTCTGAATTATGGGTGGTAAATTATTTTTCTGCATTTGCAAATATTTTAGGTTATCAAAATACACTGAAAAAATGCATCAGATTTCATCTCTGTCTCAGACATTTTGCTGCATTTTGGTTCCTCTGTGGATGTAAAGTTCATTCAAATCCATATTTTAAACCCCAGCACAGCTCTCTAGATTTTTTAGAGGTGGAACTTGTTTTGAAGAGAAATGTACAGACTTTTGAAATGTACAATGGTTAAAAAAACGAGAAAGTACGCCTCCAGGGTTTTATAGATCAGGACAAAAGAACTGGTATTATTGAAAAGGGGTATCAAATATACAAAAACACACAACACATACCTCCATGTTTGTAATTAAAATACGAGAAAACTCATAAAGCCAAAATAATATTATGTTATTATATTTAAAAATACTAAGTACGCCCCATGCATGATTTTACACACAAAAAACTTTTCAGAGTTGTCGAGCTTCAGCTTGTGGAGTATCGATTTGGTCAACAAAATGTTCAGATCGTATTGCTTTTTAATATGAGCCCAAATCATCCCCTCCCAAAAAATGTTTTCCCATATGTCTCAAAAATGATGAGGCTCCAGACGTCTTGTTGGTCATTTAAATATACCGGTATCTTTGGAAATCTAAGTCCCTCCATTCTTTTATTGTCTAGTACGTAGCAAGAAGATGTATTTCCAAGTTGTGTCTTATTATATATTTTTAGACAAAATTTTTTTTTCTCTTGGCAGTTCTTCTAAAACATGCATATGTGTTCTTCCCATTTCTGAAAAACAAATATGTTAGAGTGAGTAAATCTGCTGGGACATGATAGAGGCTTTGATAGAGCTCTGATGGTAATCTGCTATTCCAGTGGATCTAATTAAAGGAACCTTTACTTCATATAGTTTGGATGCAGCAAAGGTGCATTTTATTTTGCCGAAGAATCTTCTCCCTTTTAAATGTGTCCATTAGCACCTTTTGTGTTGATAAATAAAAACCATGGAATTGAAACCTTTTTCCGTATGGCAGCAAACAGATCTGAGCATTAGAAATAATTTAAATACTCGTCTTTGTTTTTTAGCCATTGTGTATAATTGCCATATCTGTGCTAAAAAGTTCCCAAAGTTAAAGAATAATGTTGTTTGGATCAAAGTATTTAAGGAGAAATATGCTATTAATGGTGCATTTCCCATCGACATGGCTTTACTTTGTGGCAAAAAATAAAAAATACATAGAACCGTACATTTAGTTGTTTAAACCCAATTGATGACATGCAACGAGTCTCATAATTTAATTATTTTTCTTCCATTTTAAAGATAATGAGTCATTTTTGTTCAGTAAGTGCAGAGTCATTGCCATACTCAGAGTCATATTAATGGGAATTGCTGCAGGCTGATATAAACCAGGGTTATCCTTTAACTAGATTACAACTTAACAAAAGTAAAGAAAGTTCTCCTTATATGCTTTTAGCCACCAACACACTTGCATGAGTCACCTTGTCACAGCATATATTGAAATCTTCCACACTTCTCATATATTTTTTTTTTTTTTTCACTTGCAAGTATACAAGAATGTGACTAAACGATTTCCTGTTGGGAGTTTTTTGCTCAAACTATGTCACAGTCTGTAGGCATCTGTCAGAAACCTTCAACTTGATCTAAGAGAAATGAATACTGATGCTTTATTTTTGAATTAACTTATGAGTCTTTCTAGAACAGGTCAGATGTTTTATTGTAGAATTTATATTTTTCAAATGAAATGTATATTGGAAATAAACAGTTATCAAATACTGATGGTTTGCACTTGAATTTGTCCAGATTATATCTAAACCAGTCAGTTAATAATTTTCAGCAGAAATTTACCAAAGTGTAATTTGGTATATTTTGAAGATATTTTTCTCCATATTAGCACAGTTGCTGTAAATTTGTCACGTGCACATCGATGATCTGAAACCATGACCTCATACCATAGTAGTTTTTATAGATTAAGATCTGGTGAGTTAGAAGGCGATGGGCACTGTGAAACTGTGCACCACCATTGTTTGAATGGTACTGAGCTACAGTACATGACGTCATTAATTAGGGAATGCCAACATACAATCCATTTTTATTGAAAAATCTTTTTATGTATTTTTGTGAAACATCCTCTTGCTCTCAAACTTATTTATGATATATATGCTGGGAATGTGGATATCAGTCCCCATTTGCCTTATCTGAAACCACAACTGAATATACTTTCTTTGCAACACCAGTGTCAGGTTTGGTGGATGGTTGTAGAGAAACCTTGTGGGCTGGCGGCAACAGAAACATAATCCAGACTGAACAAGCAGGGTACTTATAAACCAAAATGAGGAGTCATTTAGGAGAAGAATACATACAAAATGAAGAGAATTCAGCAAAGGAGGTGTATGTATGGGAGAAAACAATATATGGGATAATCAGTTGATAGGGAGCAGGTGTGGAGAGGAGCAAATACAAAGGAGCTAAGGGGAAAGAAAAGGGACGCTACCAGGCAGTGTAACGAGTGAAAACAGGGTCTAACTGTAACTAGGTAAAACTTAAAGGTATAGAGGAAGATGTTCTTTTTCCGGGTGGATCATCTAAATAAGTGGTCCTCCTAATTATCATTCATTCTTGTGATATGCTTACGTAAGGCCGTCCTACGTGCTTGTCCATTCTCACTTACCGATAGTGAGTCTGACATAGTGGCAAAATTGCAAATCTTTTGGAAAATGAGCTTGTATGAGCGATGCAAACAGCAACTTTTAAACAGTGTGCATGAGGAGAAATGGGCTTTTTTAAGTGTAGAGGGCTGGTCTTTTCTAAAATATATTTAAAAAATAAATCCTCCACCACACCTTTAGATAAAGCTAATGGAAATAAAACTAATGACGAGAAATAAAACTAGATCAAAGAATAATTAACGCCAAACTACTGCAAAGAGATAACTGAAACAAATAAGGGAGAGTAAAACTGAGAATTCAAAAATGATATAAATCTTGAAAAATAAAGCATAACTGAGAACCCAAAAACAAAACTTAAACAGAACCAAAAAGTCTAGAAAGGGCAAAATTATGACAAGCCAGTGGTACTATTTTAACACAACTAACCATATCTGGTCTCAGAATAATGAAGAAATTTCATTGTATTTTAAAATAATTTTATTTTTGGTTAAGCAATAAAAAGAAAATTAAACTCAACATTTCAAAATTGCATCCTTTTATTTTTAAATCTAAAAATAAAATGCTTCCTACTTTTATTCAACTTTTGTTATTAAGATAAATCCAACTTGGCATTCTGCATACACTGTTTATGGTTCTGCTGACCTCTGACAACAACATGAGACTTTTGTCCTTAGAATTGTCCCTCACTGGATATTCTCTCCTCTATAAACCAGGGGAATGTCTGAAGCCCAAATTTATCAGGGGTTTCTGTAGTCTGTAGCACTCAGGTCAGTGTCTTGCATTAACAAGAATTCAACAAAATTCAAACAAAAACAAAACAAAACAGGGGAAGTGGTTTGATTGAGCCCCCCCCGACGCGCGCGCGCGCGCGCGCGCGCACACACACACACACACACACACACACACACAAGAGATTGTAATAAGATCATTTACATTTTATTTATTCTGAAGCAGATGCTTTCATTATTTATTAAAAGGCTCCCTCTAGTGTTTGATGCTTGTTACTACATGAAATGAGTTGTAAAATAATGCATGCATGCATATATTATACTATATGTTTCTATAATATTACAATATGTTTCTACAATATTGCTAACATAAAAGTCTATATTGTCTAATTGTCTCTGTGGCATCACCCAGCTCCATTTTGCAGAAAACGCTTGTCTGTGTAAAGGGTTCAGCCTCTGTCTCCACTTTGTCTTCCAATCATTGCAGCAAGGCTTTTAATTCAGTTTTATTTAACTTCAGCACAGATTTCTAAGTAGGAAGGAGATTATCTGCAGATTGATTTAAGTTGGCCACAGGGGGAAGTGGTTTAGCTTAATAGGCAACAGAGATGTTTCTAAAACATTTGTCCAAAACTATAGTACTTACTGTCCTGCATTTAATTTGTTGGACAAAAACCTGCATCAGCTCTAGTTAACACGGTTTGCACCCCAGACATATGCGTTAACTGTTTAATTTGTTCCCCCTATAACACAGCGGGAAAATACCCAGGCAAGAATGGACTGGCAATGATGCTTCATATGGTCTTTAAGGTTGCGAGGCTTCTGCAACCATCTATGATATGGATTGGAGAGACAGAGAAAATTTTCTACAGAAAAGTTCCCAGGGAGGAAGAAGAGTTAGACCCTAGGCGACTAAAGAAGGTTTTGCCAAAG